ATAGTGCTGTTATTAGAGCAAAGGGACATATAGCCAAGTACGAGAAAGAAAATAACGCATCAGACCAATTTTGTTATCTGGTCAGTTTATATTCCCAGTCATACTTCACTATTCAAAGCACACCTGCTTGTTTATAATAATGAAATAATGAATTAAGCCCACTTAAAAGAGATAATTGCGCAGACTTCCACAGTGATAGATTTATATAGAAACTGATTTAGATGTTTAAACTGTTTTGCTAATATGTATTAAACCAATGTTTGCTGTTGTCATTAGCACAATGAACAAAACCAGCATTAGGGTTAGACCAGCATTCTGGCCTGTTTGCTCAGATGCTTATCACACTGAGCTATACTGATTATTGAATGTAGCACAAACAGACTCTTACAGCTAACTGGTAACTTCCCTGATGACAGACTGATGACGGTTGACCGTCTCACTTTATTTAATTAGGGTGGCCAGAGGGGTGGCCAAGCTTCACCCAAGGATGGCCAGTGCCTGGCCACCTCTAGCATACACCTCTGCTGAACACAGCACTGAATGAATATAGAGACTTATAATTTTAAACCTCTGTATTGTTAACAAACTATTACATAAAGATTAAGTTGCTATTTATAGGGCATCTATTACAGTCTTACTGTAATTTTTTAATTTATTTGATATGATGGTCACTTGACTATGAAGTGAGCATAAAGACTTTTATGCAGTGAACAAGACAATTTCACAGCAGCAATCACCACTTCTTAGTTAAAATTGTTAATCTGTGGCTTGGTGAGCCAGTGCAGACTTCATACATGGAAAAAAAAGAGATTCACTTTAAAAAATGAACGAGTTCAGTAGAATTTTTCAACGTCTAGCTGAATATCTGGACGTAAAGAGAAACGCTTCCTTTAATCAGTTTCTCATACGTTCTCATGGGGCTTTTCTAAATCCGAAAGCAGCACTAATGGTAAATAATACTTGAGGTTTACTGAAATTGCTTGCGTTGAGAGATAATGGGTGACACCCTACTGATGTGTTTTAAAATGTTTTCTTCCTCATTCTGAAGAATACAAACAATACTCTGAGGCAAAGGCGGATTCCTAGCAGGTTAGTGTAGCTCTCTTTCTTGCTTTCGCTTTCTACTAAACATGGGATGGACAGGTATAAACTTTAACAGGAATAGTGCTGTTATTAAAGCAAATGGACATAAAGGCAAGTACGAGAAAGAAAACAATGCACCAGACCAATTTTGTTGTCTAGTCAGTTAATATTCCAATTCAAACTTCACTTTTCAAAGCACAGCTGCTTGTTAAAGATCTCTGAAAAAGTCACCAAGTTCATATTTTACTTTTACTGGTACATTTGGTTTGATTTTGAGGTTTTTTGCATTGTTCTAAAAATAATGATTAAACCCCACTTAACAGATACTGCCCTCCCTCCCCATCTGCAGAGACTGGTTCAACAAGCTGATTTTAATTATGGGTTTCACCACATTTTTCACTAGATCTGGGTGCATTGATATAGAGCTTTAAACTGTTACTAATATATATTAAACCAATGTTTGCAGCTTTCATAAGCAAAATAAATAAAACCAGCATTAGGGTTAGACCAGTGTTCTCACCTGTCTGCTCAGAACTATACTGATTATTGAATGCAGCACAATCAGACTCTTACAGCTAACTGGTAACTTCCCTGATGACAGATTGATGATGGTTAACCGAATCACTTGTTTAATTGCCCAAGCTTCCCTCAAGGTAAAGTATAACTTTCCGAGAAAAATGCTGGTGTCTGACAGGGGACACAGTGAGATATTATTGCTTACAATGCAGTAAACAAGACAATTTCACAGCAGCAATCACCACTTCTCAGTTAAAACTGTTAATCTGTGGCTTGTTGAGCCATTGCAGGCTTTATACATGGAAAAAAATGATTCACTTTAAAAAATGAGTGAGTTTAGTAGAATTTGTCAACCTTTAGCTGAATATCTGGACGTAAAACTAAATGCTTCTTATGATCAGTTTCTCATACGCCTTCCTCATACCTTCTCATGGGGCTTTTTAAAATGTGAAAGCCATACCGATGGTGCTTATCATACTTCCACAGCGCCCCACCTGCTGGAACTGGTTCCACAAGTCATTTTAATTATGGGTTTCACTACATTTTTAATTTAATAAGATCTGGATGCATTGTAATCTGTTGACACCTTGACTGGAAACATATTTCTGATGTCTCTTCACCACTCTAACTATAAGGGGTGTTAGAATTTCCTTCACAATTAATAGTAGACTTGAGAAGAGAAAGAGGAATCATGCTGTGAAAAATATCTTTAATCAACTTGATCTTACATTAAAACTATGAAAGGACTCAACAAGGAAAAATCATAATACTGTGGCATTCACCACTTTTAAAGAAGCTACAGCTGATGCACAAGTCATTGTGCTTCATTAAAGGGCTGTAGTTGGCCACAGCCACGGCATACACAAAGAGAGTTTGTCTAACAATTCGCTTTAATCCTCGCTATGTCTTGCTTCCTCTGCCGTCAGCGTTAGACTCGCATCAGCACCCAGGAGTATATATATATATATATATATATATATATATATACCCACACACACACATAAAATCAGTTGATATTTACATTGATCTCTCAGTTTCTCACAGACTCACAAACTATGCTTGCAGTGATAAAAAGATGATTTAGAGCTGCAGTTCATCAGGTTTCCATTGAAAATACTTTCACTGGCTTCCCCACAAAAGAAATCATTGGTCTCAAGGTGTCTCTTTAATTTTGAGGGTTTTGTGATTTATTTGAAATAGCCAAACCCACACTCCCCTCACTGGGCTTTTGGATTAGCATAGTCACAATAAACTTTACTTACTTTACTACAGTTTTTATATTAAAATGTTCATCATGCCATGTGTCAACAGTCCAGGCTGGTGGAGGTGGAGTAATGGTGTGAGGAATGTTTTTGTCACACTTTGGGCCGATTCATACCAATTAATTGGTATTGGTATTGGTATTGTGGAGTGCCACAGCCCATGAGTTTTGTTGCTAACCATGTGCAACCCTTCATGGCTATAATTAGCCCATCTTCTAATGGCTACTTCCAGCCATGATAATGCACCATGTCACAAAGCAAAAAATGTCTCAAACTGGTTTCATCAACATCACAAAGAGCTCAGTGTTCTTTAGTGACCTTCTCAGCTACCAGATCTGAATCCAGTCCAACATCATGTAGAATCCATGCCATGAAGAATTGAGGCTGACAGCAAAGGGAGAATACACATATATGTGTGTGCATGAGCATGTATATATATCGCTGCTGTCGGAAGAAAACTTTGTATCTAAATTGCCCCAGTCACAAACTACACAAACACAGAGTGATCCACTTGACCAGTTTAGGCCTTCTGAAAATAGTGTGATTATGCTGACTGTTGTTGATAACTGATTGGATCATTCATAACAAACAGTTTTAAAAGTGATGATATTAAATACAAAAATGACATTAAAAACAAAAATGTTGTATGTGAAATTATGCAAAACATAGGTATGAATGTGTATGACTGTAAATTCTCATTTTAAATACAAAAAAACTGTAGTTGATCATGATGTCAAAAAGTGACATTTTCGGTAACACTTTCTATGAATGTCACCTTTGTAAGCATCTATAAACACATTCATAACATGTTATAATGCATTCATTAGACATTATAAACATAGCTATAAATATTTATAAAAATGCGTTATACGTTATAGCCATGTTTATTATGCATTATGAATTGTTAACATAATACATTATAAGTACTGATCATAACAAGTTATAAGAGCTCATAAGTTGTATTTGTCCGCTCTAAGTAAAGTGAAGCATACTGTACTAAAGCCTCCTCCAGTGTTAAGAGTGAGGCTTCAAGTTGAAGTATTTACTGAAGGATTTACTGAAACACTAAAACATACACAGTAAAGCACATTACAGGCTTCAAATGTCAGAGTTTAAACTAGTGCTGCCATCAGTGTTTTACCCAATGTGGGAAAGGTAAGGTACACCACCGTTAGCTTGGTATTTGTTTTTACTTAACACTTTCCAAGCTGGGACTGACTTCTTTGGCACTGACATTATAACATGTTATTAACACTATTTATAATGCATTATATTAACAATTCATAATGTATACAGTGTAATTCAATGTAATTCCTTTTTATAAATATTTATAACCATGTTTATAATGCCTTATGAATACATTATAACATGTTATAAATTTGTTTATAGATGCTTACAAATGCGACATTCATCGAAAGTGTTACCACATTTTCTGATGCACTGGGGGATCCTCATGACAGCCATATTCAAATTTTTTTTAAAAAGTGCCATTAAAGGGTGGACTTCCTCTCTGGCAAAGAACCATAGTTGAGACTTCCTCCCTCTAAAGCTGTATCTTTTTCTTATAGTGGTAAACTCTACAATATACTGGCCATTAAATTAAATGGGTGATTAATAAATAATAAATGACCGTAATATGCCACTATGACTTTAAAATGTCCCACTTGTTAGCATGTTCAGTAAAAGTGGGACAGTACTTAAAACCCACTTGATCATATAATTGTATATTTTGAACTACATTGTTTTTCATACCCAAACAATCAGCTTTTACAAATACAAGAGAAGATGTTTACCCTTTCATATATCCTTATGTATGAGAAAAGTATTCTGATTTGTCAGTCCACTAACCATCATGCTCACAACAATGATGCCAAGTCAGTGAAAACAAATGTTGAATGACCAGTAGTCTTGTGCTCCCACTTTACCTTATGTTCCATTTGTTTGCCCTAATACGGTTTGCAATGTTTAAATATCACAAAAGCCAACATCTTACTTGGAGAATGGCACTTAAATACTTCTTATGGCTTCTATGGCTAGTGCACTTGTTTTTGGAAAAGACCAAGTTCCCTTAAACATTTACAATCTGGCTTTATCAGGGCCACAATACTTATTAAATACCTGTTCTCTTCTGTTTTACAGATTTCAGCCATGCTTATTTTCCTGATTTTTTCAGGTCAGTATCCACCTCATACTTTGAAAAACTATTTGCTTTCTTCTGTTTTTGCATATTCTCACATTAAATGGTCCTCATACATCATGTAATATAAGATAAGAAGAACATGAAGAAACACAAATCACAGACCACAGCATCTCAATGGGGTTGAAGTCAAGACTTTGACTAGGCCATTCCAAAACCTTGATTTTGTTTATTTTGATCCATTTAGAGGTGGACTCACTCTTGTGCTTCAGGTCTCTGTCTTTACTGTATATTCTCCTGTGGGAATTTCTGGTAGAAAACTGAATTCATGGCCCTGTCAATTATATCAATTCATCCAGGCCCTGAAGCACCACAACATCCCCACACAATCACACCACCACCACCATGTTTGACTGTTAGTATGCTATTATTACTGTGGAATTCTTTATTCAGTCCACAGAACATTAGTGCAGAAAGCACAGGAGGCATCAAAGGGCTTTTTAGGAAATGTGTTATGAACCTTTATGTTCCTCTTGGTCAGCAGTGGTTTTCACCTTGCAACTCTCCTGTGGATACCATTTTGGCCAAGTCTCTTTCTAATGGTAGAATCACCTGTGGTGAATGAGGCCAGCAGCTCCTTAGACGATCATCTGGGTTCCTTTGTAGCTAACTGGATAAGTCATTGTTATGCTGTTGGAATAACTTAGATAGGCCAGCCACTTCTGTTGAGACTCACTACTGTTTTAAATGTTTGGAGATAATGGCTCGCACAGTGGTTCACTGACATCCCAGAGCCTTAGAATTGTAACCCTTTCCAGACTTATATATTTAAATAATTTCAATAATATTTCAATAATCACTTTAATTGCTTTCATTACAATCATTACTTCCACAATTTCTTTTGATCTTGGCATAATAATTTCAGCCTACTTCACATTCAACATGCCTGGCACTAATCAACCCTGGGTGTGTCTAGTTTAATTTTTCCTAATTAGCAACTTAAATTGGTGTAATTGAGTAAATAAAAGGGTAAATACTTTTTCATACATGGCTAGTTTCTGATGGATAAATGCCTTACTTTCAATAAATTAAATGATCATTTAAAAACTATATTATGTTCTTGCTCTTACTATTATGTTATTGTCTCTGTCTTACGTGAAATTTTGTTTGAAGATCTCTGTGACAAATGTGCAAAAATAGAAGAAATTGGGGTGAATATTTTTTCACAGCACTGTATAAATGTTATGTTTGGTCATATTATTCATAAATGTCTGAACAGTATACATGCCCACCAGTACTGTGACATAATATTTGTGTTACAGGACTTGGCGCTCTTCCCTTCACACTAAGTCGTAAGTAAGAATACTGCTACTGTAGTGATTATTTACATGAGTACATGTATAGCTTGGCTAAATCCTTGGAAATACCACTTTCACACTTCCAGATTTGGTGGCAATGGACTAATAGGGAAAACATTAAAGCAATGGCTCCATTTATGAATGACATATTTTTACATCCTCATTAAAATATTTACCTCATTTTTACAAACAATGAAATGTTCATTTGATGAAGCAGTTTGCATTTTCATAGAGGTCTACAAGCTTTTCTTTGAAAATGACCTGCTTAGCTACAACAGTAAGGACCTCAAGACAGGTTACCCAGTTTAACTTATATCAACTGTCTAAAATTTGTTGCTCATTTTTACAAGAATATACTCAGTGTTGTGCAGGTTGAGACTAGAGTTAACTGCAAACCAGGTGAGGTGAAGGCAGGAGCAAGTGTGGTATAAGTGTTATCTTGGTCATCAGTAGAGGCAGGGATCAAAACACATTACAAAACAGGAATAGGAAAATTAGCAAAACCCAAGAGCAGGAATCCAAAAACAGAGCCCCGGGGAAATCAAGAAACAAGGAAAACTAAAAAATTCCAGTATCTATGCTTAGAACTATGATAGGCTCAGAAATGCTCAGGAACCTATGGTAACACCCAGCAAAGGCTAAACACAAACAAACTGGTGTAACTATGGAGACACACAGGTGGAATGATGACAGGGACAGTCCATGATAGAGCCAGAGCTGAAGAAGACCAATCTTGGATGGATCATGGGCAACAGAGGCCATAGGAGCAGAGGCCACTAGAGAGATGGAGGCCAGAGGAGCAGGGTCTACTGGGGTGGCAGAGACAGATGCAACAGAAACCACTGGAACAACAGCAAAAGGAACCACCGGACGTGCACAAGCTGCAGCAACACTAGGGAGCAGGAACTGTAGGGGGCAACCAGAAACAAACAGGAGCAATAGGGAGCAAAGTAGCAGGAACCTCAGGCAATTCCAAGATGATAGATAGGAGTACAGGGACCATCAAGATTGTATACAACGCTCACAGAGAAGGACCTAGAAGGCAAGTAGGTAATCTAAAACATGTTCTCATGAACTGCGGACAACATTCAATGAGGGGCCTAAAATTAGCCAGTACAGGAGAGAGACATGGTTTTTTGACAAGACATGTTCAGAACTGAAAAAACTGGCTACACAGGAGTGCAAAGGGAGAGCAAGTGCAGGTAAATTGAAGGTCTGGAGTGGTTGATAGAGGTGCAAGACCAGAATTATAATGTCTGGAGAGGTGGACAGGGAGAAAGGAGATGGGATGTGCTTAAAGAAAGACATTTTGGATTTTTGTAAAGCTGTGATTGCAGGGAGCTCAGAGTTATGAGACAGTGGAAACAGGGGGACTTTGGCCAGGGAAAAGGCACAGGAGTGGCATATCAGAGGACTCAGCAGAGGTCAGAGGTCAGCAGGCATGCTGTGTAAGCTTTGTAAGCTTCCTCTAATGCAATAATGCCTACATCAAAATGCAGTAATGACGCATGAGAAGCTGGGGAACATGGCTGATCCACCGCAGGAGAAACTGGGGGATCATCAAAGCACAAGTTATAGCTCAGAATCCCCAAGAATATACTCTTGTTTACCACTCTTTTAGGCTGGTCTCCCTAGCTCTGAATAACCACTTTCAGTTTGAGTCATTTTGAGAACAGTGAGCCATTCTGAAGCAGAGAAAAAAGAGAAAATGCAAAAGCATAGCCAATACAACGATTGGGAATGTTCTGAAGAAGAAAGAATCCACTGGTGTACTAACAACAGACGTAAAAGAGGTCGGCCAAGGACAACAACAGTTGATGATAGAAACAATGAAAACAAAAATAAGAAGCCAATAACATCAGTAAGTGACATCTTCAGCAATGTCCACAAGGACATTTAACGCATTTAACCCGTCCGTGCAGTGAAACACCACATACAGGACTAGGAGGCAGTGAGCACATTTGCCCAGAGTGGTGGGCAGCCCTATCCATGGCGCCCAGGGAGCAGTTGGAGGTTAGGTGCCTTGCTCAAGGGCACTTCAGTCACGTACTGTCAGCTGAGGGGATCGAATACCGGTCACAAGGCTGGTTCCCTAACCTCCAGCCCATGACTGCACTATATTTATATATTTCCTTTGATGACTTTATGCACAGAAAATGTTTGCTTTGATATTTTGACATAACCATTTTAGCTTTTGTACTAAAAAAGCATTGCAAGTACCAAATTCACAGACCAAAGATGCAGCAATTTTTTAAACACAAACTAACGTTCTGTACATTTGGTTTTGCCTTTGTAAATGAGTAGAAAACAACAAACTATTCTCTGTTACTGTCTTAGTCTTACACATCTGGAGTTTTAAATTTGAAATACAGACATATCGGCACAACATTGAGAGGAGAAATGTTTATAGTACCGATTGTTTGAAGTGTTTGAAGGCCTGAGAAAACTATAGAGATGATTTTAAGTGTAGTTCACAACAAGTGAACATTAACTGATGAATGAAGCCAAGTCCAGTTAAGCTATCATTATTTATTTAACATGCTAGCTGAGAAGGTATCTGAATAGGCTAATGATGCACTCTTGTGTGTGCATTATTGAAGTACTGCTGAACTGATGTGTATGTAGTTGTGCTATGATAATGACATGGAATTCAACAGTATACATGAATTTCAGGTAAAATTCTACACAGAAGAGCTACTGTTTCCATCTGAACCCCAACAGATATAAAGTTGGACTGTGTTTTAGCTGTAGTTCAGTTGAATGATACTGCTGCACTGACATAAGTTAGTCTTTTTGGGTCATGAAATGGAATCAGACTATTCATTTATGTATATGTGCATGTATATGTATGTACATGTATATATACTTATTCGCTTAAAAATGCAGAATGCCAGAATGGTTGGTCCCAGTTTGGATCTCGCTGCTTCAGTGTCTTCACAACATCAGCTAACTGGTCAGCCTCTGAGGTACAATTTTATATGCTCTACTACAATTAAGCTGTTTTACTGTTGATTTCAAGCCATGAATAAAATTTGTAGTTACACAACATCAGTACTCAGTACATATGATTTGATTTCTTTTAGCAAAACTGTGTGAACATGGAAGGACATCTTGCATCTGTACACAGCAGTCAGGAGTACACTTTCCTCCAGGCTTTAGTGCTGAATGTAACTTCATCAAATTCACGAACATGGTTAGGTGCTACTGATACTGCACAGGTTTGTTAAGTTATAATCTTACTATTTTTTGTGAAGCAACTGCATTAACTGTTATTTTTTTTTACAATTCACATCTTTCTCTTTGCAGGAGGGAGTGTGGATGTGGACAGATGGCTCAGCATTCGATTACATTAACTGGTCTACTGGACAACCTGATAATGCTGGATCTGCAGAGAACTGTATGGAGATGAATTTTCCAGGTATCATTTCCTTCAAGATTAATTTCTTAAGTTTCTGTTTTGCAAATTAAAAACACAGTCTTCGCCGTCTTTACTGAAGTGGTAATATAGCATTTGCACACTTTCAGACCCCTTTATAGATTCCATATAATTATATTTCTTTTTCTCTCTTTATTTCTTTAGTGAACTGGAATGATATAGGCTGTAACACAACTTTGTCATCAGTGTGTGCCAGTAAGTATGTTGAAAGCTGAGAAACACTATTTTGGTTAATACAGCAGTTGGCAAATGTTACATGTTGCATTACATAATTTAAATTCTATACGCTGAAATGAAAGCTGCAAACAATGATCCAACATTGGCTGGTATTTTACACACTATTTTAAGAGAAATATTGTTATTTTTAGGAGATATGGAAGTTAGGAGCATAGTCATGGCAATCAATACTGACCACAGATAACTGTTATGGTTTTGCATGCAAAGTTGCATGGTTTGGCTGCAGTGTTTGTAGGAGGGCACTATGATAAATAATTTTAAAATCGTGATTTAAACGAGTATGACTTTCAAAACTCAAGAGCTGCAATTTTACTGGACATAAGAAAGCTGTTCATAGAGCTTACTTTGTTTACAGTGGATATATATTGTGTGGACATAATTATGGTCAGGATTAATTAACCTAATTGGTATGGAAAAACAGATTTATGTTTCACTTGCACTTTAAGTGCTAAGGGGCAAATTTAGCCCAATAACAGCTGTAATCTGCCTGTGGATAAGTTTGACCATCACAATCAACCAAACACACATTTTGGCAAATTGGATGAGTTGTGAGGCCAATGATATTTTTATAGAATAGAAGCAAACAGTCAAACAACAGAAAGCAATCAGTTAACCGTTTTATTTTTTATTATATATAAAATGATAATTGTAATTACAATTAGTGGTGCTGGTAAAGTATATTTTAAACATGTACTGTTAACCCACTTTTTATTTCTAAAAATCAGGACTAATTATGCTCTGTCCATAATAAAACATGTGGCTGGTGAGTGTTCTAGAAGTAATGATGATAAATACGATAGGCTCCTTATTTTGGAGCCATAATCGTATTGATCCATATTTTGACATTTTGTGATGTAATTTATCGCAATACTGATTAATACTGTCATTTTGTCCAGCCCTACATAGATTTATCTACATGTATTGTTTAGTTTAACTTTTACTATTTTTGACCATTCTTCCAGAAGCACATTTGTGAGGTCAGACACTGATGTTGGACGGGAAGGCCTGGCTCGCAGTCTCTGCTCTAATTCATCCCAAAGGTGTTCTTTTGGGTTGAGGTCAGGACTCTGTGCAGACCAGTCAAGTTCTTCCACACCAAACTCGCTCATCCATGTCTTTATGGACCTTGCTTTGTGCACTGGTGCGCAGTCATGTTGGAACAGGAAGGGGCCGTCCCCAAACTGTTCCCACAAAGTTTGGAGCATGAAATTGTCCAAAATCTCTTGGTATGCTGAAGCATTAAGAGTTCCTTTTACTGGAACTAAGGGGCTGAGCCCAACTCCTGAAAAACAACCCCACACCATAATCCCCCCTCCACCAAACTTTACACTTGGCACAATGCAGTCAGACAAGTACCGTTCTCCTGGCAACCGCCAAACCCAGACTCGTCCATTGGATTGCCAGACGGAGAAGCGTGATTCGTCATTCCAGAGATCTCCACTGCTCTAGAGTCCAGTGGCGGCGTGCTTTACACCACTGCATTCGGCACTTTGCATTGCGCTTGGTAATGTAAGGCTTGGATGCAGCTGTTCGGCCATGGAAATCCATTCCATGAAGCTCTCTACGCACTGTTCTTGAGCTAATCTGGAGGCCACATGAAATTTCGAGCTCCTGAGAGCGACCCATTCTTTTACAAATGTTTGTAGAAGTAGTCTGCAGGCCTAGGTGCTTGGTTTTATACACCTGTGGCCATGGAAGTGATTGGAACACCTGAATTCAATGATTTGGATGGGTGAGTGAATACTTATGGCAATATAGTGTATCAACAAAGCTACATGTTGTGCTCAGATTTGCTAAGAAAATAAGACTTATCTAGTGATGCACACAAAAGCTACATAGAACTCTAACCTTCTTTGTAGAGAACCTTCAGCCTGCTAGACTGTGAGTGTAAATTACAAGCCAATGAGGTGCACACGATGAAAACACGAAACAAACCAGCTGGATGTAGCATATTATCAGCAGGAAGCACATCATCATAAACATATACAGCACAAAAGCAACTGAATCCCATCACAACCAGCCTATTCAAAAACACAATCAGCAAAGAATTCAATAGGTAACACTAAATATATGAAATTTCCAAAATGAGTGAAGTGTATTATAAAAACTCACTAAAACAAGCCTTTGACCTATTTCAGATGAATACAAGGACATAGTTAGTCTTTCAAACAGATATGATGGCCACCGTTAAAGCACCTGGGACATTTATCTATTTTATCAATTTTTTTTTTTTTTCTTCTACAGAAACAATCAATACAACTACTGTTCCCTCGACAACTGTTCCCTCAACTGCTGCTGCCTCAACCACTGTTCTCTCAACAACTGTTCCCTCAACTACTGTTCCCTTGACCACTGCTCCCTCAACCACTGTTCCCTTGACTACTGTTCCCTCGACCACTGTTCCATCAACTACTGCTCCCTCGACCACTGTTCCCTCGACCACTGTTTCCTCAACCACAGTTCCCTCAATGATTCTTCCCTCCACCACTGTTCCCTCGACAACTGCTCCCTCGACCACTGTTCCCTTGACCACTGTTCCCTCGACTACGGCACCCTCGACCACTGTTCCCTCGTCCACTGTTCCCTCGACCACTTTTCCCTCGACCGCTGTTCCTTCGACCACTGTTCCCTTGTCCACCGTTTCCCCTATCACTGTTCCCTCGATCAACGGTTCCTCGTCCACTGTTCCCTTGTCCACTGTTTCCTCATCCACTGTACCCTCGTCCACTGTTCCCTTGTCCACTATTCCCTCAACCCCTGATCCCTTGTCCGCTGTTTCCTCGATTACTGTTCCCTCAACTGTTTCCTCGTCCACTGTTCCCTCGACCACTGTTCCCTCGTCCACTGTTTCCTCTATCACTGTTCCCTCGATCAAACGGTTCCTCGTCCACTGTTCCCTTGTCCACTGTTTCCTCAGCCACTGTACCCTCGTCCACTGTTCCCTTGTCCACTATTCCCTCAACCATCGGTCCCTCAACCCCTGATCCTTTGTCCGCTGTTTCCTCGATTACTGTTCCCTCGACTGTTTCCTCGTCCACTGTTCCCTCGACCACTGTTCCATTAACGACTGTTCCCTCGACCACTGTTCCCTCGACCACTGTTCCATCAGTGACTGTTCCCTCTACCACTGTTTCTTCGACCACTGTTTCCTCGAACACTGTTCCCTCGACAACTGTTCCATCAACGACTGTTTCCTTGACGACTGTTCCCTTTTCCAATGTTCCCTCAACCACTGTTCCCACGTCCACTGTTCCATCGACCACTGTTCCCATGTCCACTGTTCTCTCAAGCACTGTTCCCTCAACTACTGTTCCCTCAACCACTGTTCCCTTTGACCACTGTTCCCTCAACAACTGTTCCCTCAACCACTGTTCCCTCGACCACTGTTCCATCAATGACTGTTCCCTTAACCACTATTCCCTTATCCACTGTTTCCTCAATCACTCTTCCCTTGACCACTGTTCTCTCTACAACTGTTCCCTCGACTACTGTTTCCTTGACCACTGTTCCCTCAACCACTATTCCCTCAACAACTGTTCCCTCAATGACTGTTCCCTCTATCACTGTTCCATCAATGACTGTTCTCTTGACCACTCTTCCCTCGACCACTGTTCTGTCAAGTACTACTGTCTTGACCACTGTTCCCTCAACCGATGTTCCATCAATGACTGTTTCCTCAACCACTGTTCCCTTGTCCACTGTTACATCGACCACTGTTCCCATGTCCACTGTTCCCTTGACCACTGTTCCCTCGTCCACTGTTTCTACAGAAACAATCATCACAACAACTGTTCCTAACACAACTGACCCCTCAACAACTGTTCCCTCAACCACTGTTCTCTCAACTACTGTTCCCTCAACTGCTGTTCCCTTGACCACTTTTCCTTCAACTGCTGTTGCCTCCACCACTGTTCCCTCAACTGCTGTTCCCTTGACCACTGTTCCCTCAACTGCTGTTCCCTCGACCACTGTTTCCTCGACTACTGTTCCCTCAACCACTGTTCCCTCGACAACTGTTCCATCAACGACGGTTTCCTCAACCACTGTTCCCTCGACAACTGTTTCATCAATGACTGTTCCATCAACGACTGTTCTCTTGACCACTCTTCCCTCGACCACTGTTCCGTCAAGTACTACTCTCTTGACCACTGTTCCCTCAACCGATGTTCCATCAACGACTGTTTCCTCAACCACTGTTCCCACGTCCACTGTTACATCGACCAGTCTTTCCATGTCCACTGTCCCCTTGACCACTGTTCACTCGTCCACTGTTTCCTCGTCCACTGTTCCGTCAACAAACGTTTCCTTATCCACTGTTCCCTCGTCCACTATTCAGTCAACTACTATTCCCTTGACCACTGTTTCCTCGACTACTGTTTCCTCAACCACTGTTCCCTCGACCACTGTTCCCTCGACTACTGTTTCCTCGATTACTGTTCCCTTGACCACTCTTCCCTCCACCACTGTTCCGTCAACCACTACTCCCTTGACCACTGTTTCTTCAACCACTGTTCCCTCGATCACTGTTCTCTTAACCACTGTTTCCTCGATCACTGTTCCCTTGACCACTCTTCCCTCCACCACTGTTCCGTCAACCACTACTCCCTTGACCACTGTTTCTTCAACCACCGCTTCCTCAACCACTGTTCCCTTGACAACTGTTCCATCAACGACTGTTCCCTCGACCACTGTTCTCTTGTCGACTGTTCCATCAACGACTGTTCCCTCTACCACTGTTCGCTCAACCACTGTTCCCTCGACTACTGTTCCCTCAACCACTGTTCCCTCGACCACTGTTCCCTTGTCCACTCTTCCCTCAACAACTGTTCCCATGTCAACTATTTCCTCGTCCACTGTTCCGTCAACAAACGTTTCCTCATCCACTGTTCCCTCCACTGTTCAGTCAACTACTATTCCCTTGACCACTGTTTCCTCGACTACTGTTCCCTCGATCACTGTTCCCTCGACAACTGTTCCCTCAACCACTTTTCCCTCGACCACTGTTCCATCAACGACTGTTCTCTTGACCACTGTTCCCTCGACCACTGTTCCATCAAGTACTACTCTCTTGACCACTGTTCCCTCAACCGATGTTCCATCAACGACTGTTTCCTCAACCACTGTTCCCTTGTCCACTGTTCCCTCAACCACTGTTCCCACGTCCACTGTTACATCAACCACTGTTTCCATGTCCACTGTTCCCTTGACCACTGTTCCCTCGTCCACTGTTTCCTCGATCACTGTTCCCTCAACAAATATTTCCTCATCCACTGTTCACTCGTCCACTGTTTCCTCGTCCACTGTTCCGTCAACAAACGTTTCCTCATCCACTATTCAGTCAACTACTATTCCCTTGACCACTGTTTCTTCGACAACTGTTTCCTCAACCACTGTTCCCTCAACTACTGTTTCCTCGATCACTGTTCCCTTGACCACTCTTCCCTCCACCACTGTTCCGTCAACCACTACTCCCTTGACCACTGTTTCTTCAACCACTGTTCCCTCGACCACTACTCCCTTGACCACTGTTTCTTCAACCACCGTTCCCTCAAGCACTGTTCCCTTGACCACTGTTCCATCAACGACTGTTTTCTCGATCACTGTTCCGTCAACAACTGTTCCCTCGACTACTGTTCCTTCTACCACTGTTCCCTCAACAACTGCTCCCTCGACTACTGTTCCATCAACGACTGTTCCCTCTACCACTGTTCCCTCAACCACTGTTCCCTCGACCACTGTTCCATCAACGACTGTTTCCTCGACCACTGTTCCCTTGTCCACTCTTCTCTCAACAACTGTTCCCACGTCCACTGTTCCATCGACCAATGTTCCCATGTCCACTGTTCTCTCGAGCACTGTTCCTTTGACCACTGTTGCCTCGTCCACTGTTCTGTCAACAAACGTTTCCTCATCCACTATTCCCTCATCCACTGTTTCCTCGTCCACTGTTCCGTCAACAAATGTTTCCTCATCCACTGTTCCCTCCTCCACTGTGCAGTCAACTACTATTCCCTTGACCACTGTTTCCTCGACTACTGTTCCCTCGACCACTATTCCCTCAACCACTGTTCCCTCGACAACTGTTCCCTCGACCACTTTTCCCTCAACCACTGTTCCCTTGACCACTTTTCCCTCAACCACTGTTCCATCAAGTACTACTCTCTTGACCACTGTTCCCTCAACCGATGTTCCATCAACGACTGTTTTCTCAACCACTGTTCCCTTGTCCACTGTTCCCACGTCCACTGTTACATCAACCACTGTTTCCATGTCCACTGTTCCCTTGACCACTGTTCCCTCGTCCGCTGTTTCCTCGATCATTGTTCCTTTAACAAATATTTCCTCATCCACTGTTCACTCGTCCACTGTTTCCTCGTCCACTGTTCCGTCAACAAACGTTTCCTCATCCACTGTTCCCTCGTCCACTATTCAGTCAGCTACTATTCCCTTGACCACCGTTTCCTCGACTACTGTTTCCTCAACCACTGTTCCCTCAACCACTGTTCCCTCGACTACTGTTTCCTCGATCACTGTTCCCTTGACCACTCTTCCCTCCACCACTGTTCCGTCAACCACTACTCCCTTGACCACTGTTTCTTCAACCACTGTTCCCTCGACCACTGTTCTCTCAACCACTGTTTCCTCGATCACTGTTCCCTTGACCACTCTTCCCTCCACCACTGTTCCGTCAACCACTACTCCCTTGACCACTGTTTCTTCAACCACCGTTCCCTCAACCACTGTTCCCTTGACCACTGTTCCATCAACGACTGTTCCCTCGACCACTGTTCCCTCAACCACTGTTGCCTCGACCACTGTTCCATTGACCACTGTTCCCATGTCCACTGTTCTCTCGAGCACTGTTCCCTTGACCACTGTTTTCTCGATCACTGTTCCGTCAACAACTGTTCCCTCGACTACTGTTCCTTCTACCACTGTTCCCTCAACAACTGCTCCCTCGACTACTGTTCCATCAACGACTGTTCCCTCTACCACTGTTCCCTCAACCACTGTTCCATCAACGACTGTTTCCTCGATCACTGTTCCGTCAACAAACGTTTCCTCATCCACTATTCCCTCGTCCACTGTTTCCTCGTCCACTGCTCCGTCAACAAATGTTTCCTCATCCACTGTTCCCTCCTCCATTGTGCAGTCAACTACTATTCCCTTGACCACTGTTTCCTCGACTACTGTTCCCTCGATCACTATTCCCTCAACCACTGTTCCCTCGACAACTGTTCCCTCAACCACTGTTCCCTTGAACACTTTTCCCTCGACCACTGTTTCCTTGTCCACTGTTCCCTCAATGACTGTTCCCTCAACCACTGTTCCCTCAACAACTGTTCCCTCAACCACTGTCCCTTCAACTACTGTTCCCTCAACCGCTGTTCCCTTGTCCACTGTTTCCTCGATCACTGTTCCCTCAACAGTTTCCTCGTCCTCTGTTCCCTCGTCCACTGTTTCCTCTTCCACTGTTCCCTTGTCCACTGTTCCCTCGACTACCATTCCTTCAACAACTGTTCCCTCAACCACTGTCCCTTCAACCACTGTTCCCTCAACCGCTGTTCCCTTGTCCACTGTTTCCTCGATCACTGTTCCCTCAACAGTTTCCTTGTCCTCTGTTCCCTCGTCCACTGTTTCTTCAACCAATGTTCCCTCGTCCACTCTTCCCTCGATGACTGTTACCTCTACGACTGTTTCCTCAACCACTCTTACCTCAACAACTGTTTCCTCGTCCACTGCTCTCTCAACACCTGTTCCCTCGACCACTATTCCTTCACCGACTGTTCCCTCAATGACTGTTCCCTCGACAACTTTTCCCTCGACCACTGTTCCCTTGACCACTGTTCCCTCGACCACTGTTCCATCAACGGCTGTTCCCTCAACCACTGTTCCCTCAAGAACTTTTCCCTCCACCACTGTTCCCTTGACCACTGTCCCCTCGACTACAGTTCCGTCGACCACTGTTACCTCGACTACTGTTCCCTTGACCACTCTTACCTCGACTACAGTTCCCTCAACCACTGTTACCTCGACTACTGTTCCCTCTACTACTGTTCCCTTGACCACTCTTCCCTCAACCACTGTTCCATCAACAACTGTTCCCTCGACAACTGTTCCCTCGACCACTGTCCCCTTAACCACTGTTCCTTTGACCGCTCTTTCCTCCACCACTGTTCCCTCAACTACTATTCCCTTGACCACTGTTTCTTCAACGACTGTTCCCTCAACCACTGTTGCCTCGACCACTGTTCCCTTGTCCACTGTTCCTTTGACTACTATTCCTTCACCGACTATTCCCTCAATGACTGTTCCCTCGACCACTGTTCCCTCAACAACTGTTCCCTTGACCACTGTTCCCTCGACCACTGTTCCCTCGACTACTGTTCCCACGACTACTGTTCCCTCGACCACTCTTCCCTCGACCACTGTTCCATCAACTGTTCCCTCGACCATGTTTCCCTCAACCACTTTTCCTTTGTCCAGTGTTCTCTCGACCACTGTTCCCTTGACCACTATTTCCTCAACCACTGTTCCCTCATCCACTGTTTCCTTCATCACTGTTCCCTCGACCAACATTTCCTCGTCCACTGTTCCCACGTCCACCATTCCCTCAACCACTGTTCCCTTGACCACTGTTTCCTCATCCACTGTTCCCTCGTCCACTGTTCCTTCGACCACTGTTCCCTCATCCACTGTTGCCTCGACCACTGTTCCCTCAACCACTGTTCTCTCGACCAATTTTCTGTCAACTACTGTTCCCTGGATCAATGTTTATTCGTCCACTGTTTTCCTCATCCACTGTTCCCTCAATGACTGTTTCCTCAACGACTGTTTCTTTGACCACTGTTCCCTCGACCACTGTTCCCTCAACGACTGTTTTCTCGTCCACTGCTCTTTTAACCCCTGTTCCCTCGACAACTGTTCCCTCAACGACTGTTCCCTCAACCACTATTCCTTCACCGACTGTTTCCTCAATGACAGTTCCCTCAAATATGACATGCAATATCTCTGGTCCAAGTTCACCAGGTCAGAATGTATCTTTTTTTAAAGTCTTTTCTGAAGGTGATATACATTAATAGAAAATGTCATTAAAAGTATAAATAGACTTTAATACAAAATGTTATTTGTATTATTATATTTATTGATTCTCTTCTTGAAATGTTTTAGTAAATGCATTAAGTTGAGTGTACAATATATTGGTCAATGGTTTTCCAAAGGGAATGTGATGGTCCTGCGACTCAAAGTGATTTCAAATAAAGACTTGGCGGCATCTGACAGTTCACAGCTGCTCCTCCAACAGGTAGCATACAAAAATCATCCTAATGCTATTGTGTTCTTCACTTAGGCTGAATCCATGCTGTATGTAACAAATATTCTCCAGAACATGCTTTCTTCTGTTTGGGTCTAATGTACAACTGACAAACTATTAAAATGATTAGTTGCAATTAATTGCATTATTATGTGCAGTTAATCATATTTTATCTTATTTGTCTTATTTGCTCAAATTTGACCCTGAAAAAAGTTTTTTTTTCATTTTGTTAGTATATATAACTAAACCTATTTAGTTATATGAGTGGATAAAATAAGTTTAATCAGAATGCATTCATTACTTTCAGTAATTCAATAAAATTATTTTAATCGAGTGGACACAGAGTTCACCTGAACCTTAATGTGAAAATTGCATGATTTCACATGAATGCAGTTACTAATGGCAGCATGTTTCAACCAAATTTCACTCACTGTCCACTTTATCAGCTCCACTTATCATGGTGGTGCACCCTGTAGTTCTACAATTACAGACTGTATTACATCTGTTTCTCTGTTACTCCCTTACACCCTGCAGGTATTCTTTGCATGGTGGATCATTCTAGCACTGCAGTGACACTGACGTGGTGGTGGTGTGTTAGTGTGTGTTGTGCTCATACAAGTGGATCAGACACAGCAGTACTGCTGGAGTTTTTAAGCACAACGGTGTCACTGCTGTACTGAGTACAGTCCACCAACCAAAAACAGCCAGCAAACAGCGTCCTGTGTGCAGTGTGCTGTGACCACTGATGAAGGACTAAAGGAAGACCAACACAAACTGTGCAGCAACAAATGAGCTATTGTCTCTGATTTTACATCTACTAGATGGACCAACAAGGTAGGTGTGTCTAAATGAGTGGACAGTAAGTGGTGTTTAAAAACTCCAGCAGCACTGCTGTGTCTGATTCACTCGTACCAGCTCAACACACACTGTCAGGCCAACACCATGTCAATGTCACTGCAGTGCTGAAAATGATCCACCACCCAGATAACAGCTGCGCTGTGGTGGTCCTGAACATGGAGAAACAGAAAAAAGGGCTAAAAAGTAAGCAGAGAAACTGATGAACTACAGTCTATAATTGCAGAACTGCAAAGTGTACCTCTGAGTGGAGCTGATAAAATGAAAAAAAGAGTGTAGCTACCTTAATGAATAAGAAGGTTACCTTAATAAAGTGGCCAATATCATGTGTATCATATATATATATGTATACAGTCAAAGATACAAACTCCTTCTTCATTGTAGCCTCTCATTCTCCTTCATACAGTTCAGGGATTCTTCTTACAGTGGAAGCTCTTATGGGGAACTGTAGCTTTCTGATTTGCTGTTGCTTTTGTTTGTTGCTTGTTATTTATCCATAGGTCTCTCGCAAACACTGTCCTGTGTAGTCTGCTGAAAATTTCTCTTTAAAAGCTGTATTAGAACAGGAGAACTACAGCTGGACATCAGACAATTTCAAGGGTCAAACTAGGAAAATAGGTCAATAATGTTAAAAAAAAAATGAGTGGCACTAATAGTTTTTGCAAGTCCATCTCTCTACATCAAAAAGCCATACACTCTTAACCTGGAAACACGCTGGTGCAGTAACAGATTTCTGCTTCGATCCTAGTTTGGTATCAATGCTCTCATTTGCATCAGTTTAAAAACCACTGCTCTAAGTGATACATAAATGTTTTAAGAATCACAAACTGGCTTTTCTCAAGGAAAGAGGAGACATGCTTCATAAATTGCCCACTCAGACTGAGTTTATGCTTTAGCTTTGTTTATCAGTGTTTTCATTACACTATTTACAAAAGTCTATATAACACCTGCCCTTTGCTCAAGACCAGATCACTCATGAAAGAGGTCATTATAAGATAACAAAACTACAGTCACTCACTGAATTCTGAACTCAACAGTGGTACCAAAAATGTGTGGATTTCAATCTATAATTGTTTGTAAAGTCAAGGAAGCTGTATGGTAGGTAGATGTGCCTACTAAAGCAGCTGCAGACTCTGTATTACACTGAATAACACAGCTATGTTCATGTGTCCCTACAGCTCAAAGGGAAGTTGATAGACAGAGGACTACCAAGCAACTTCACCCTTTGTTTGAGGTCCATTAACAAGAAATCACCCTAGAATGAAGGTGGTTTGGAACATGAAAATGCTTATTTTTGATATACATACACAACAATTAGTAAAGAGAAATCAATATAGAGGATGTGAAACAACAAAATCTTGCTTTTTTTAAAATGTTCAAATCAAATAATTAGTGTGGGTTTACACAGTTAAACTTTCATGCATCACTTTAATTGACTTGAAACCTACATAAAACTAGATTGCACTTAAGTTGCATAATTTAAAGTGTCCTGCAAATCACACCGGCTTCTTTACCAGGGAAAATTACAGTCAAAGTGGTTCACTTTTGTGGGGCTATGTCATGTTACAAATCTCTACCGTCATGTTTAAATATTAGATACTGTATTAAAATGTTAGATAGTAGCACGGCCACACCTCGCATCACACAAGCGGTAAAATTCACCAGTAATCCTCCTTTACGAACCAGTAAACATGTTACCGCCATGCTATTCGCTCCTAACATCATGCTAAATCTGGTGCTGCATTTTCTGAATCTAGCCCAATGTCCTCTCTGTACAAATTACTGCAATATCATTTTCTGTTGCTGCAATATAATAGAAACTGATTATGTCAAAGCTTAAAAAATGCTTAAATCTCAGCATGTCAGTTACAATCTATGAACTGAAAACTGAAAAACAAAAACACACCCTATTGTTTTTCTAAGCTGTAAATGTTCAGAATGTCACAAGAAGGCTATTCTATAATGTCTGCACAGGGAGATTCTAGGAGTCGCCACCAAAGGCTCCTGTTCTCCAGGTGTTAGTCTTCTCACAGTTTCTAACTGCTGTTGACTACCTGTTGTTTAAACTCTGTTCTCTATCTGGACTCTTTGTGAAATACTGTTCGTCTCCACAGTGTAATTAAGTCATTATGCGGATGCTTTATTTTGATTTATTTTGACTGTCAGAATTGAGTTCATTTCTGTTGTTTTGACTCGTCCTGAATAAAACTGCTCTTGGCTCTCACCCTGCTTTCAGTCTTTCTGCTGGTATACAACTCTTAGATAATTACACTAAATACAGAGTTCTTTTTGGGTAAAATGAGAAAGTACCTGAGGTAAAGAAGTGTTTTTTTTCTACACAAAAGAGAGAGTACAGACACCAATATAACTGTGTAAAGCAATTCATGTACAGCTACTTAAAAAATATATATGATTAGACTTATATTATATGAAGTAGGGGTGGGAATCTTTAGGCACCTCACGATTCGATTCGATTACGATTCAGAGGGCTGCGATGCGATTATAAAACGATTATCGATGCATCTCGATGCATCTTTTTTCTCTATACATGATTTCTATCTTCCTACTGTCTGAGGACTTTTGCTTTAATTATCTAAAATATTTTTAATTAATAAATCAAATGGAAGTGATGTGGCAAGTGAACTAGAAGGCTCTCATTCAGAGACGCTGCTGCCACTCATCTGCGATAAAATGCGCTGTTGTCCTGAAGTAAGATCCAGTGGCAATGGGTGTCCACGCAGTACGTTACAGCCACCCTTTTGGTCTTGTTGTAGAGAGTGGGGTGGTATTTTCGAGACTGGACGCTAAATCTCGGCTCCAAAGTGTGCAGCATAACGCGAAAGCCCTGGTTCTCAACGACTGAGAACAGACAGCAGACAGCAGGTCACATAGCCCCGAGGTCTGGCCTCGCCAGTAGCGAACGAAAAACAGATTAAGACGAACATTTGGAGGACTTATTCGCATTTATACGCAGCGCGGTTGGTTAAATCTGCTGAGAGACTGTCTTTCTCTAAAAAGTTGTGAAAATGAACTCGCTTCTCTTTCGTATTTTCCTGTTCCACCTTAAATAGTGCAGCAGTTACATTTGGCGCCTAAGGCAGAATTTAAGGTGGAACAGGAAAATTAGAACGAGAAACTGGCGAATGAGAAGCGACTTCAGCCTCGTAAAACAGCCGCATGCTGAGACATTTTACAGGAAACTCTTCTAGTTTTGAAGAAAAAGGAGACGGGAGGAAAGCGGCTAAAGCTAAAGCTTAAAGCAGAGCGAAGTAAATCTGCGCTCTCGTTTATATTTTTAGCCCATACTAGGACGTTAACACATACTGAGACATACTGGACATTAAATGTTGTGGCTCCCAAGGTGGTTTGACTTCGTTGAAAGGCAAAATGGCTCTTCTTATCATTTGTGTTGTGACTCCTGACCTAACCTGGCTTTTAATGCAGAGGGAGCCGGTTGAATTTCTCGCTCCTCCAGTTGTGTTTTTGTTGTGTGCCGTCACAGACTGTCCGGGTGCTGCACTTTCCCACTTCCAGTTCAGACTTTTGCGTTCCGTCAACATTACGTTATAAATTAAATATTTAGAAAATCGATTTTTGACGTTGAATGAATCGATTCAGAATCGTTCACGTCCGCATGGCGATGCATCTAAGAATCGAGTTTTTCCCACACCCCTAATATGAAGGGTGTCTACGTAACATTTATAATAAATTGCATAACAAATGTTAAAATTAAAGTTTATATTCATATTTATGATATTAATATGGACTATTGTGACATTCAACTCTGAGATGTGAATTTATTTTTTATTTTTTTAAACCATTTTTAACTGACTGAAATGCATTTTATTTAGATCTTTTTAAAGAAATGCAAAGTAATCTACTAGAATTCATGCAGTATTTCAATATCTATAGGAAATATTATGAAGTGACTCACAATTTTACCTCTATGAATAATAACTGCACACACACACACACACACACACACACACACACAAACCCACACACACTTTCTAAGCCACTTATCCTTCTGGGTCGTGGCGGGTTCTGGAGCCTATCCCAGCGGTCACTGGGCAGAAGGCAGGAAACACCCCGGACAGGTCACCAGTCCATCGTAGGGAAGACACACAGACATATACAATCACACACATGTTCACACCTAGGGGCGATTTAGCGCGTCCAATTCAGCTAACTGCATATCTAGATATCTGTTTAGCTGCTGAGATGAGCGCTTAGCTGTTAGCATTTTGGTTGCATGTTTTTTAGAGCTGGTCTGAGCTTTTGGAGCTGTAGAACTGTTAAAACTAAACAAGCACAGTAACACTGATTTTATATTGGATATTCGACTTTCTCTCTTCGATTTCTCATGATATAAACAGGCAATTATGATCAGATCAACATTTTCTCACTATTGAGAACACAGAGGACAAACTGCAACGATACATATTTCAAAAGTATCCTTTGGTAAATTTGGTGAACACAAAAGCTCACAACAACACAACACCAATGCGTTACTGTTTAAGGGGGCATCTAAAAGGTGCACAACCTGTACAACTGAAGAGGTTTACATTTTAACACGTTAAATGTAGTGGTGATTTTGGCTTACAAAACAATGATGTTATGTACTGAATGTGATCTGTGGCATGTTATTGAACATTTCATTATTCATTATTCATTATATCTGGTGTCTATGTCACTGCGTAATGAACA